GTATAACACGCAATATTTCTTTTTCCAGCATTTTCCATTTAGACCAGAACTTTTATAAAGCCAGCCACTTTTACTCGCCATCTTGCGGGAGCATGCTTTGTTTATGCTGGAATTTACACAGCTTTCCCTTTGTATTACCTCTTAAAAGGAACCTTTTTAATGCCATGGCAACACGCGCATCTTTGGATGAGGATCCCGGGGATAGTTTTCAAGATGCACTAAGTTAACGCCCTGAGGGTTGATGTAATTACTTTTACCTGAAGGTTAGCTGTTTGTTGAACAGAAGTGTAAAAGGAGGGGCCATTTTTTAAATTTCCATGCAATAAAGGCGCTGATATTTACTGTTTATTGCTCTTATCAGAAATTTATTACGGAAATGTTATATGTTTCAATTAGATTTAAAACAATACACTAAAAATGTTCATCATACTCTGATTTTGGACTTTGTTCTACCATCTTGTAAGTTTATATATCGTTGTTAAGTATAGATTATTTAATGTTAGTTTTTACAATAGTGAACCCACACTAATTATGACTAACATGAAGCAATATCAAGGATTGCATAAGACAGTTCATTTACTGCAAAATGAGCATGCGCACTTGTTTTCAAGGAACCAAGTTTTGATCAAATTTTTGAATTGTCTAGTATTTTGTGCTGTCTTTATTGATTCTGGGAATGAATTCCAGATTTTAGGCCCTTGAAAACTCAATGATCTGATACCATTATTGGTCTCCCTGAGTCTTAAGATTCCGTCCACATGATACCTTTTACCCACCATTGCTCGATACTGTCCTCTCTTTGTTTTTTTCTATGTTTCTTTCTATGTTTCTTTGATTCTTCGCTAAAATTCCGTAGAGAATGCAAAAAAACGAATATAAAACCCTTATTTGTCTAGAAAACATCTGTTGCAGTGGCGTAACGCAGTTTAGAGCATCTATGTTCAATAGCTAAGGGTTTCCGATCAACAGGGGGCCCTTAGTTTTTTTCTTATGTTTTTGAGACTTAACTCAAGTTTCCCTTGTTTTAAGAAGGTTTTTTAACTGCGTGAAAAAGTATTATTTTCAAATATTGCGTTTGACATGCGCTACACATTTGGATTTGACTTTGTTGCAGTCCGATCGTGCCTTCAAGTCAAGCCATTTTGTGCCATTTAATTCCCTTTTCACGTTTCTCCCTCTTTGCTGTATATATCCATAGTCAAGCAAGAATCATCAATTCCTCCTTTCTGTGTAACTGCAACGGTTTATTCTACACGGCTGGGCAGAGTGTGTACCAATCATATCCAATTCAATATAACCGCCCGACTTAAAAACACACATGATCAACCCCTTCCCCCTAAATAAATAGAAATCATTGACAATTATTAACTCATTGGTACCAGTTTCAAGCAGAATTCGACTTCCTTGTCGCAGTTAAAAAATTATAAAAAAATCAGTTGTGTAGAGCCAAATTTGACATTATGCACGAGTATTTTTGTGTTCCAAAATAGGCCTTGTCCGCAAAGTTTCTTATACGCAGCTCCACTTGCTGATTCAGGACATTGCACATGGAATCGATTGGTTGTATCCATAAATGATTTTTTAGCAAAGGAATTTAAAAATTTGTTTCGTTTCAGTCCATATCTTATCGCTTTAAAATTTTGGTAATTGTGATAAATCGAAAAAATGTACTTCCTTGCACACCAGGTTAAAAATATTTGGTATGAAAACGACCTAAGCTTATTAGAACCACTTTTTCCATCCTTTTCTCTTGGCTAATAAAAATACTCATGATGAAAATGACATAACTTTCTCATATTCATCAAAGATTACAATATAAAGATTACAGTATACATTTACAGATGATGCTACTTTACAAAATTACTATAAACTTTACAATACCACTGAGAAAGATCTCAACCAAACGCATTCTATTTGTTATAACGTGCAATACGATTTAAATATGAATGTTTGGGAGACAAAAAGCGTCGAGGTGTAACCTTGCTTCGAAAAATGGAAAGTGCTAAGCCCACACTCGACACCACTGACTAAATTCTAGTTTTTTATTTTATTTTTCGAGTGGACGATTTGATTGTTGTAATTGGGTAGGTGATTTCCAAAATACTTTGTTTGTACTCACGAACTTGTTGTGAAAACCATTCAAAGTATGGCCATGTTGCATATGTCTCAAAACGAATTGGGGTTCTAGAATGGTGTGTAGACACTCTTGTGTTAGGAATGCTTAGTTGATTCAATGCGGCTGACAATGTTAGATTCATTACACAAGTAAAAGAAAATGCTTACAGTTAAAAGCGAATGATTCGGATAGTAGACTAGATATCTAAAAATTTCCGAGGGACTAAGCTCTAAACGTAGTTTGCGCATTTGATGGTGTTTTTTGATGTCTTTTAAAATCCTTTTTGAAGTCACACATTGGTGGTGTAACTAAGTGTATTTGTGTTTCTTAAGTTGGCACGTTCTGTGGACAAGAATTTTAGCCGTTTCCGTAACGGTGAAGATTTTGTGGCAATTTTCCGTTAGCGATTCATTTCGGCTTTTTGAACACCGCTTGACATATGCGCGTTTTTCATTTTGAATCATGGTTTCTTTTTACGTTAAATTTCTTCTCGAATACATCACAGCAAGTCACTTTTACCGCCGCATCTTTGATTGCTTCGGTCCACTCCTTGCATTCTTCCCGGCTAAATGCAGCCCATACCATCTCATCTTTGCGCTGCCTGTGGTCTATCTCCACGGAAAACAGAGCATTCAAGTCTAAAACACCTTTGGGAAACTGCATTGATTTCCATCTGTAGCAGGATGCACCAACGAGCACCCGCTTGCAATCCTTTTTCATGTCCAACTGATATTTCGGCCTCTTTGCATGAGAGCGCGGCTTACCATATATCGATAACTTTGCGTCTTCATACAGGACAAGGTACCTCAATTTCCATTTGTTGAGCCATTTATTTTCACAATGCAAATATACCCATCCACTTTTTAAAACAATCATCATCGAAGATCTTTCAGTTTTCAATAATATCAAAACTTTTGAAATTGCAGACTTAAAAGTTCCTGCTCGCTTGGCTGTGTATCGTGTGAAAACTTGTCCCTACTACATTCGTCTCTCGTGATTGCGTTGAAATACTTTCTTGGTCTGAAATGGCTCTTTCAAAATGACGCACTTACATGCCATGCACAATGAAATTGTTCAATGGTGGTGCGAAGATGAATGAACGACTTTGAAAAAAGCAAACATTTAGTAAAGTTTTTAATCAACTATAAATGTGTTTTTAGATGAAATGTTACGTTTGACCACATAAAAAAAATGGCTTTTATGGCGATGAAAAGAAGAAAATAATTAGCCTCTTCAATACACTGTGTACCTTCTCTTACAGGCATACAAGCTTCTTCCCTAAGGCTTGGCAAAAGAATTTTTATGAAACATTTTACTTTATCCGTAAGCCTTAAAAAGCACCGTAGAATATTTCTGAAAGTTGCTGAATATTTTGAAAGTTAAAGGATATATGGCCAGTGACAGAATCGAAGTCTGTTTACAGGTTTTATAGTCCAAATTCAGGAATTCTAAAATAGAACTTTGTGACATCATCAGTCAAGAGCCCAGGGTCGTCCTTAACTACTCAGCGCAAGTAGGTGCGCAGATCCCATTTGCCGACAAGGTTGGTGTGCCATCCCTGATTTGCCGACAATTCTGAAAATTTGCCAACGAACCTCCCCGGCAAGTGGGCATCATACCCCTTCCCCGTGTTCTTTGTATATTTTCTTGTCTTTCTCCGTCATTTTCATTTAAAGGTGATGTCTTCCCTCAGTCATCTTTCAAGTTAACCATAGTCTATGTGTTAACTATAGCCTTTGCTTGCTCTCCACCACAGAGGCTATTGTATAGGAAGTATATGATTTTGTAGCCTTTGCTGCGCATTCGCAATCGAGGATTCGCTGAGAATCCAGCCTACATTTCCGATTGTCTTGACGTCCCATGAAAACACTCTTTATTTTAACAACAGCCTGGCTTGACATTTTTTTTACTGATTCCAATGATAAAGAATCCAAATGATGAATTCCTAAACTCAACTGGGCGGTGTAATCGGGAAATTTATGCGGCGCCTTATCCGTTCAACCAGGTTTTTAGTCATGCTTGAGTGATCAGTGCGCCAAATTAGTTCATTGAGTTTCAGGCTTCGGTTTAAAAACATTGCTTAATTTGGATATATTATACTCGTGTATTTAATAAAGTACTCAGTTAGAATGCATTTTTACAAGCTATTGCATGCTTACAGTGATTCGATTGAGGACAGGGTATGTGCTCATGTGGCCATTGCTCAGTAATTTCAAGGGCTAAATGAATTTAGTTCTGAATGCATGAAATTAGAAGCCTACCTTTGTAAAGGCTGATTTCCACGAGGCGAAATTTGCAGCGAATTCGCGGCGAATTCGCTTCGAAATGGTCTTTGATTTCCACGAGACTGCGAATTCGCTGCGAAATTATATAATAATTTCCTCCAAAACTCAACTTTAAGGCGCCTATTTTAAGAACTGCACGCATGACGAATGTTCCAAGATTATTTTCTTACAAATCAAGCAAATTTACCATGCTTTGACTGGTTATTAGGTGCTGCGAAATATTTCGCCGAGAAAAAGTAGAACTCTTTTCTACCTTCTTGCGAATTCGCTGCGAAATCAAAAATCAAAACTGCGCATGCCTTGATGCCTTCATCAGCGATTTCGCCGCAAATTCGCTGCGAAATTCGCCTCGTGGAAATCAGCCTTAAGTTCAAGTGAGCTTTTGCACCTGTCATCAATATTGCATAATCCAGAACAGATGCAACACAGGCTAATTCCAAAGTGCTTTAACCCAGGCAGGATAGCAACAGTTTTTTATTCTGTTTTCCATTGTAAATGGGATGGAATTTACATTCTGAATTTTATTAAGATTGCTGAATGTTGAAATGTCCACGCTACTGGGAACAAAGTTTCAATTTATATTGTTTTTTTCTTTTCAGTGCCTCGTCATTTGCCAGGACCAATCAATGGCAACCCTTATGCACTTGTAGATAGAAAATTATTTGGTGGAAAAGGCTGTTCAAAGCAGCTGCAAACGCAGGATTATAAAATGTCCACAACAGCACCAGGAAGGCAGTCATCTGATGTTTCCAGAGGAATTAAAGACCTTGATAATCTACTTAGCGAGCTAGGCCACTTAAGCGCCACTTGCAAACGTGAAAAATTTGTCGATAAAGACGAGAATTCTAATTTTACCAGGAACCCGAATGTAGCAAACGTGTTACCTACTATTCATGTTGTTAGCTCAGAAAACTTGAATGCAAAGACGAACGGAACAGTCGAGCCTTACCGTGTAATTCAAAATCAAATCGAGACCGAGACTCGAGTTAAGCCTCGTTTGCCTCCTCGAACCAGCAGCGTAGGGGCTGTTGATCGTCATGCTGGCGGAACCCTAAGAAGAACAGTTTCAGACGCTACCACCGAAGAATCAAGAGTACTTCATGCTCCTGTTATAAGAAACCAAAGTATCGGGTCAGACGATGTTTTCAATTCAGACGGACCTGTATCACCGGCCATCAGTGAAATGCTTGATGAACTTGCAAAGTCGCCACTTTCTCCGGAAAACGCTCGGCGGTTCTGGCACAGCAGGCGCCCTACAAACTTGTCAACAAAATACGATAACGTCAGCGAGAGCTCATTTTCAGAGACGGACGAAGAATCGGGTGAATTCCGCCAAGGTCGAGTTAAAGATCATGTTAGACAATTTAACCGAATACTTTCGTCTCCTGATCCATCTAAAGTCGGTACTGGTGTCCCTATGCCCGGACTGGTACAAGGTATAAACTATGAGGACAAGATTTCCAAATATAATTCCCGGTCGCTTGCCCCAGGCCAATGCGGACCTGCCCCTGACCGGTTGTATATAGCCGGTAGTCCCCCGAAAAAAATTGTTTATGATCATCAGGTGCAGGTTGGAAATCCGGATGCCCCGCAAGTTTTTATTCCGGCTTATGCGGACAGACCGGCGGCTTACTATTTGGAAAGAGCGAGAGCAGAGCATGAACAACGTCATTTAATGCAAGGTGAGTCAACTCCTTTCTGTTTTTTTGAGAACCGTATTCTAGTATTACGTTAAGAGTATATCCATCTTGCTTTGGTGTGTAGAAAATGATTGTTCTGCAACTCTTTGAGTTTCACGATTATTACGATCATCAGTTGACCTGACAATGTACTGCTCAGTCTATACTTCATCACGCACCACTTTCTATGTTGCAGGTAAAAAGGAAAACAATAATCACCATTTTATATCTGTACTTTGTGCGATTGTCCATAGTGAGAATCTAACGGGTCTTTGGCGTAGAACCTGAAGCAATTACTTCAATTGGTCCTTAATTTTTAGCGAATAAGGTATTCATCGTTTTTTTCAGTTTGATTTTCAATAATCTTCGCGACTATAATGCTCTAAAAACAGGGCACACTAAGAGATACTTCAATCACACAATTTTTTATTTTTTAATAGAAATTTATTTTTCTATTAATAATATTGTTTATTTTTTAATGATAAGTCTTGGTATCAAAGGTTGGCCCAAGGTGAAACATACCTACTTTACATTACGAGAAGATGTTTTCAAATTCCTTTATATTGGAAATAATCTAAAACTCACCACTTTCTTCTTAAACATACAAACTCGATCCATGATAATAAAGGTGCGTTACATGTATCTCTTTTAGCTTCCCTTTGCAATTCTAAGAACACGCAAGTCCTCTGATGTTGCCTATAGAGGTCCGCTACAGCAAAACTCTGATCAATCCCATATCAACGCTAGATTTGTTTGGATATCACAAATGCCTTGGTTCGTTTTTGCTTTCATTCAAAATGAAGAGAAATAGATTTTTTAGGCTGTGAGATCAGACTTATGGCCCCCTTTGTGTATTTGGAGTTTCCCCTGGTTGTATGTACCATAATCGTTTTGTCACTATTCCTTCTGATGCCATCATTACCAAGTTTTCGTTGGTAATAAACTGATGCACTATGAAATCATCTGCTCTTTTGGCACGATAAAATTTCAAAGCAATGTTTCTTCTTCACCACACAGATGCTAATTGTTTATGCTTCGCTCATCAAAATTGTTTATGTCTTAGCGCAAACTTTTGGGCAAAATTACATTTAACTGACCTTCTCCAATTTGACAAGGTCAGTCTCCACTGGGATGATGGGTTAGTGATTTATCCTTCAAATATAAAACGAAATAAGCTGAAATGCTTAGCAGGCTTTAAACTTTATCAGATTATACGAAGTCAAGTCGAACCTTGCGGGACATTCACTTTGTAACTTCGTACCGTAATTCGAAGGGCTTTTACTAAGTACATTAAGTTTCAATTTTTTGTCATACGATCTTGTGATATAATCTGTACATGATATTATCATTATCTCTATTGTATTAATTTAATGGAGTCAAGTGCTTTAATTATTAGTGTGCTTCAACCAGGGGGTGCTCTGTTACTCTTTCTAGAAAGTGCCTCAAATTATACTTTGAAAAGGCTACTGTCAATTTTTAAAGTCCCCACGATCCGATTTTCTACCCCATGTTTGTGCTGTCTTTGAACCAATGAAATAACAAGGGGCTGTCTCCCAGTAACGGAACCTGTAAATAACGCTCACTTTCCAGTTATGGATACCCTTTCGTTACCGGACATCTCCCAGTCCCGGACATCTCCCAGTCCCGGACACCTCCCAGTCCCGGACACCTCCCAGTTGTGTTCGTTTTCCAGTAACGGAATCTGTAAATAACGCACACTTTCCAGTTATGGATACCCTTTCGTTAGCGGACATCTCCCAGTCCCGGACATCTCCCAGTCCCGGACACCTCCCAGTTGTGTTCGTTTTCCAGTAACGGAATCTCTAAATAACGGACACTTTCCAATTATAGACGGCTTCCTTTAGTGGTCATCTCCAAATAACGGACACCTGCCAGTAACGGACACCTGCCAGTAATGGACACCTCCCTGTAACGGACACTACCCTGTAACGGACACCAAAATTTTATCCCTGTATCTCAAGTAACCTGTGTACAATGGGTACCATCCTACAAGGGACAAAAACCCTGGTTCTACTGAATTTCGTGATGTCGAGATTTCATATAGTTCTTTAGATACACCATCGGGTATTTTAGGTAACTGGTATTTTCGTTTAACGCCGATAATGAGTTGCCAATTCAACAGGCCAATTGTTTGATCTGATCTAAAGTGAATTTAAGATTAAATCAAGAGTCTTCTGGGAAAGGGTTTACTGTTGATATCATTGCGATTCGTTGCAAAGAAATGAATTTTTAGAAGGCCTGTCTGGAAAAGGATTGTTGAAGTTTTCGCGAAAACTACTTGTCGTCCATTTTGCTAAAGTTGGTAGTTTTCAAATAAAAGACATTACAATTGATAAAGTTTATCATTCTCCTCATTCTAGCCATACATAAAATTATAAGTAACAGCAAGTCAACACGAAACTGCAATAGACAAGGCTCCCACGTTAGGGGCCATATTTGAAAATATTTTTAACGTAACTCTTGACTAGTGCCCAGACCGCACGGTATGATTGTTGCTGACCGCCATCCCAGTAAGGTTTTTGAAAGTATATTAACACTGGTAGAATTTTGTTTCCAATTTATTTACTGCTTCTAACTTAAGGTGAATAAATTTCAGTGTTTTTGTTCATAGACAAGCGAATTCATTTGGTTCCTTCTAATTCTTTTGACAATGCTATCGATGTTTCTCGTATTGTTCATCTCATTGTGGAAAGTGAATTGTAGTGTCAAAAATGACCATGATGTACATTTAGTGCACGAAACCGGTCTTCTCTTAAATTCTGAAGATGAATCGGTTGCCTTTCGCTTACTCCTTTTCGAAGTTTGGTTTTTGTAATCTCCAATAAATTTATTATTAGATAGCTCGTTAGGTTATCGATTTTTGTAACAAGTTACCCAATAAACTTGATCCAAAAAATTTTAGCAAGTTGTTGATTGACATTTTCTTCAACGATGAGTATAGAGCAAAATATTCTATTCTTGCTTATAAAATTTTTGGACTCGTCAGAAAATTAAACGTGAATTCAATAAAAAAATTTCCGAAATTGATAATTTTCATCCGAAAAATGTTTTCCAAAAATCTAATGTTCAACATTGATAAGTCGGAAATTTTTGCACTAAATGTATTGGATATTGTTATCTTTAATAACCAACAGGAGCTTTTTCGTACCTTTTTAGATTGAAATTTAATAATCTTTTCCACTCGTGTCATGCACCCGTAGTTTTAACAACAATCTTTTGTCTTTTTGGAAAACATTCCCTCGTTACGTGTGGAATCTCATAGCAGCATCTTCGCATCGAGTTTCCTGTTCATGCTAAATGTTACAGCAAGCGCTGTTTTCTCATATATTCCGCGTGAAGTCAAACATGACTCTCGGCTGTAATACAGTGAGTACACAGCCCATTCCCCCGTCTTCCCGCTAGCTTCAATAGACTCAAATTTAGCGAAAATAACAAGTCGAATTGATATGGGTTTTTTCTATTGAATCACTACCGAAATCTGATCTGTGGTGAATAGGACACAGATTTTCGCAAAATTGCAACGTGTTTGAGGCTGACCGGCACAATTGCGGATAACTTTGTCGACCTCCGTATTACATGAAAATTAACTAGGGATGTGTATGAATGGTTTATGCCGAATTGTGTTGAGGAGGTTCGTATGGCCGATGGGTGCGTATTTCTCTCTCTTTCTCCACTTAGGGCACTAGTGACTCTAACTTTTCATTGCACTTTCATTAAGTGACGTTTAATGTGCACCAAGTTTAAAAACCTTTGTCATGTGTAGTTGGGATCTGGTAGTAGTGGACTGGCAAGTGCTCAATCTCCGAGGTTTGTGACAATTCCGAAAACCTAATTTTTATACTGATATCATTACAAATGCAATTTTTAACTCACATAAACTTATGGCGTCAAACCAAGCACTAGAGTAACTTTAATCAGCATAAATTTCAATTCACTTTACTCTAGTAATCATTGCACTTTACTATTATCTTATATTTTAATTTCCTTTTCAATCATTTTTAAAAACACTCTATGATCTTGATCTTCTTTGCTTTTTACACATTAACTAGTATTGTGAGCTTTTAAAAAGATTTCCCTCGCCAGTTTTACCAATTTTGAGCTTATATTTAATCCAGTTTGTTTGTTTACTTAGGTATTTTGTATTTACCGTAATCAATCTGTTGTTTTCAGACCTTAGATCGACTTTCCGCGTAAACATCGCCTATATGTTGAATTTCTCTTTTCTGACGTGTTTTATAAGGTTTATATGTCACTAGGTGTTTAGCAAATATCAAGGTTTTGAGTTTGAAATATATACACAATTATGACTACCTCAAGCAGGTATAGCCATTAACAAAAGGGGTGCTGTAGTTTTGGAAGTATGGTTAAGACAAGGAGGTTTTAGGCCTACTTGAAGCGACAGAAAGCAAGGGAGGCCCATTTACCACAACCTATATACCCTTTCTGTCACTCTTTCTTTGTCCAAGTATCTGGTTCGTTTGAAAAATTTTCCAGAACATACAAGGCAGTTTATGCCTCTGCTCCTTCAACTCTTTAATGGCTTTCAATTAGTACACGAATTCAAGTAATGTTATCTGAGTGCTAAAATGCAGATCGAAGTAACAAGGATGTACATTCAAACATGGTAAAATTCTTGCTCATTTGCCTTTTGTTTGAGTAGTTCACTTTCCTTTTAGAGTCGCAGTTTGTATACATTGTCAAGATAAAATCTAGCAACATTTTCATCTCACTTGGGCATAAGGCCAGTTGCTTGTTTCTATTAAAGGAGCTTTCTCTGTACAACTTTGCTTAGGCTTTAATTTTAGAATGCTGTATGTTTCGCAGTGCTTCTTGCTGTTTTGCTACCTGTGCAATTCCACAATGATTTTCTCTTTACAACTCTATGCAGTACGAAGCTTTAAACAATTGGGTACATTTACGAATGAATATGCCCTTCTCAAATTGAAAAGTACCAAGGTTTTAGGTTTATGGCAACAGTTTTATGGCCCATGTTTTGAATTCCATGTCCATATCACGTGCGAAATTTTTGTGTCGCGTTTTTTAAGACTTGTGCCCGCAAAAGATTGAGGGAATTCCCCCACCTTAGTGTGCCGATGTGCTTGAACTAATACCCTTGCTGCCTACCAGGATGTCATATTCCTATACCCCTTTTGCCAAATTGCTCTCCCTCCCAATTCCATGCCCCCAGTCTCCACCACAGCGTCATCACAGACTTCAGTCTGAATCAATAAGAACGCAATTCGTGCCACTTGTTTATTTCTCCAAAATCTGCGGCACCAATTTCATTAAAGGAATTCGAGTAAATAGTTGCTTTTATCATGTAGTCTTGCAGATGTTCTACAGAAAATCGTGCGCGCATTCGAAAACATGTCATTCCGATTGCAAATGTTGGCAGTATTTGCTATTAGTCTCTGTAATTATTTGCATGTACAATTAACTGTTAGTTTCATTTAGCGTTGAGCGTTGAAACACGAAACCGGCGAGATTCGACGAGGGATTTCTAAAGGCTTAGAAATCTACTCAATACGAAGCTTTACCCGACATCTTGTTTTTTTCTAAGGGTATTTCGTCAAATTTATATAGGTAGGGGTCCTTGTTCAAGTCGCCTGGCAATGAACCGAAATTTCTGTCACTAATCCACATGATCGGTGACATGCATGTTTAGTTCAACATTTACCCCCCCCCTCCCCCATTTTAGGTTGGTGCCTATGTACTCTAATAGCAGAGATATCAGCATTGATTTGAATGAGGTTTAGGTCTTATTTTTGAAATTACACTCTTTTATAAGAACTGGTAAATTGAAGTTCAGGCTGGCTGCTCGTGTTTTGTTTCGAAACATGTTCTTAAATTATTATTGTGTAAGCAGTGCAATTGCGCTCTAGGGAGGTCTTCAAGCCTCGTTAATCAACAATGTGAAAGAGACATTCTTTATTTGCCGAAAAGTTTGAAAATTCACATGAAACATTCGCCAAAATTACATTTAAAGTAGCCAGCCTCGGCTTGTTGAGAAACTTTTGACCAATTTTGAGGCTTGTGTTCTTGTAAAAAATTTCTTATCTATAAGAAAAAAGGTGTTATTAAAAAGATATAGCAGGGTGTTTCATTCTAGGCACAAGTTGATTTTCAAGCACCTCGCATACAATACTTCGATTTCAAAAGAACACCCCTTCTGTAAGGGTGTGTTATAATTTCTAAGCAACAGATAACGAATGCACTTAGGCCTTCTTCTTTAATGCAAAATAGCAATGCGCATCCCTAAAAATTTCAAAAATTTCCTAGATAGTATACAGTTTTTTGAGAATATTTTATTTTGTAAGCTGAGATCATGTTTTATATTTAATTGCTCAACATTCAATGCATTTTTAAGAATTTTGAAATTTACGTGACCGGAAAACCAAAGATCAAAGGTGATACCATATTAAACCTTGTGATCAGCACATGTCTCCACCATGTTCGATGGCGCTTTTCTTTGGGTGTTTTTCCCAAGGTACCCTCTGTTTTAGCTTATACGTTCATCTCCGTGCCATCTTAATTGCGATAAACATCTCCATGTTACATTCATCCTGTTATTCTTGTAATCTGCAGTTTTATTGAATCACTTTGTTGAGATATGTAGCAACTGCTGCCAGTCCCCCGTAATTTCAATCGAACTGCTGTAGTGATTAATATCATTTACTTTGCTTTTTACCTGCAAAGACGGGAGCCAAAGGTCCCCAGCATTAGAAAATGAAAGTATTAGTCACATGTTTGTTTCCAGTCCCCCTTGATTCAGAGACCCAATTTTCTCACGAACAACACAATGAAAAATTCCTAACTGAAGATATCGTCAACTTTAATACTTTCAAGTCGATTCGTTTGTATAATATTCTTGACAAAACTGCACGATGCCCTTGTTTCAGAAATTGCCAAATTCTATGTTTGCCACAAATTCTAATATTTTTCCTGTGAAAATATAGATTTCCTTGCTAGTTTATGTAGTGTGGTTTAAGAGCCGGTTTCGTGTAAAAAGATCATCAGTTTTTCAAAAAATATGTAGTCAGTGAGTTTATTTGAAATGGGATTCATATGATAAAGAGAAATTTGTGAGGTCGTTGCTGAGTTGAGATCTCAAATAAGCCTATTATAGAAGAAGGAATTGATAATTTATTTTTTAAGGAGACGGCGGCTGGAGGTAAACTGTGTTTCTTCTTGACACAAGGACCAATCCGAAAAGCTCTTCTCCTTGCTTTTATCAATGTTGCATGCCTGGATTAACTCTTTTTTTGCTTGGTTAAGAAACGACCTTAAACGAACGGAAATGTGTCGATTCCGCTGCTGCTAAGAGAAAATATTAACTTCGATTAATGAGATTGCCCTCCGTAGCGTGTCATATTAAATTGATTGGAAAGGCGTAGCTTGCCTTTTCCCGGATTTTTTAATTATCTTTTTTTGCATTAATGTATCATATTAGTTTAATGCCTTTCTTCGAACCGGCCGTCTTTTGTGATCTCATTTTTTCTTATGCAGTTCACAATCTCATTTATATATTTCCGCTAAAATTATAAAAATCCAGTTTGAATTTTCTCGTTTCCGCAACTTTAGCTTTCTAATGAAATGAAAAGTTTATATTTTCCTTCTTTTTAGTTATATATTAAGTTATTAAATGAGTCTGGGCTGAAAATTAATCATCAAAAATTGTCAAGATTCAATTGGAATAGCCCCAAAATTGAGCAAATTTTCTTCTTTGTCGCTAAAGCGATGACTTCCTTTCCCGCAAATCCCCTGCGGGCTGCGCTCGTGTTCGCGTGGCTGAGCTTTTTTGGCTTGCTATCCTCTTCTTACAGGGCTGATGGGAAGCGGAGCATCGAGTCTTTCTTCTAAGCATCAATAGACACCCTAAGTCTCATTCCCTTTAAATGGGATTTAGGCAAATTGATCTGATGTCCCTATGAATCCGACAAACGCACCTCCATATAGAAACATCCCTCACCACCCCCCACCACCCCTCACCCCCTGGACACAACCTTGCATATGTCTTAAATGTTTTATTTCCTTTCAGGAAGCAAACTGAGTAATGGACACGTCCCAAGGGACAAGGCATCCAGTCTTTCGCCAGAGACCCCGCTGCATGTCAATGTCCACAGTAACTCGCCGGAGTTTCCAGAAGAAGCAAATACGGTTGAAGATATAAGGTACCTGAATTTTGAATAATTGCTGTCCTTTACTTCATTTAATGAATCGTGTGTTTCTCCAATTCCTGGCACACCCCAAAAAGATCATTAATTGAATTGCTTGAAGTTTTTTGGCAAAACCACAAATCTTGTTTTAATGCGGGAACGGAGATATGCGCAAGACTTTGGAAATTAATCGTAACCCCAACAGACCTGAAGATTTGTAAGGAACTAAACCGATTTTAAAACAATCTCGAAGTCTTTTGTTAATGCATTATTTCCTTATGGAGATTCCGACAAGAGCAATTCTCGCATATAGTCACGTTTTTGCCTTGTTTGCAACCTATCCCTCACCTAACCCTAATGGTGATGACGTCATGTCATGCAAAGTCGGTTTGGGAGAGGGGGGATACCTTCAATGTAACATCAATTTCCCCTTGTGAAGAAGGGAACACTTAACCCCCCTAAATTATTGCGATTCTCCAGGGCCAATAACGATTCGGAATTTCAATAAACGTGCAATTTTTTGTCAGTTTTGGTCATGTATGGTTTCTCCCCATGTCAGCTGAAAAACCGTTGAAATTATCTCTACTTGTCTACCTTTCGACTTTTTTGGCTTTGAAAATATTATTTATAATTCCTTTCCAATTATGCAGCCAAATCATATTTCTATCATATTTGCAATATTTCCTGTGAATTTCGGCATTTTAACTTTTAATCTTCTATCCCATTGCATATGGTATTGAAATTTCGCAAAACAACGAAGGAAATATTAAAAGTTTGGTATTTTCTTATCATTTTTGGTCAAATTTCTAATCCAAATATTTGGCTGATGCGGTAAATCAGATTTTGCTCCGTTCGCCACAGATACGGACATTAATCAGCCAAAGAAAAACCGAACAGGCGTTTTTGAAAAATTTAATACGGCTGAAGATAATTTCCTTAAAAGTTTATCTGGTCATAGAAACGGAGCGCTTTGTTAAAGAATTATGACTATCCATTTTGCCGAATTTGAGTGTGCTGAACGCCCGCAGGTATGGGCACGTTTGAGGTCGTGGCTAGATGAAGATTCGTACCATGCTAGATGAAGCTTCCAATTTTTAGCAATTTTTGAGTATCTTTCACGAGAACACGTAAATGGCCAAAACCCAATCCTAATTTCTTCAGATTCTGGGTCGTATATGAAGTTTTCCATAGAGAAAATTGATTTGAGAGTTTAGAAAGAAATCTCAGACGAAACACCATGAAGAGCACGAATCATGTTTTAAGTTTGGTTTAGTTACAACTAAAATACGAGCAGTTAACAAATATACAAAATATCAGCGCTAGAGCAAATGTCCTTTAGGGAAAATAAAGAATACACTCTTTTTAAGGATAGTTTAAGAAACACAGTCCTGGTGCTGCTGTGTAGCAACATTCAGACTTGCTGGTGAATATTAAAAAACGTAATTTTACAATCAATGGTAGACTCTTTATAGAGAAACCATGCACTGCTCCACTAAAAACAATCACTTAAGGCCATGATGCTACCAACCCAGCCAGTAAATCAATGGAATGCCATATTCTGGTGATTTAGTGTTTTTCTGCTATTCAAAAGAGTAAAGAAACTTTAATTTCATGGAAAGTTAAAAAAATGTCAGTGCTGTTTCAGTGCAGAATATTTTATAGCTTTCTGTTTAACAAAGAGTGTATTTGCTACAACCATTTAAATTATTTTTTTGTCATTTCGAGTCTTCAGTTAATCCTGCGTATACTCTACAATCATTCATAAAGTTGCTAGAAATTCTATATTTCAGACAGACACTATCGTGTTCAATATTTCAGTTAGTGGAAGTGTTAAAAAGATGGCTGTAATAATGTGGCATTATCCATTGTACAATGAATCATGATTGTTATATTGATCTTATTTTCAATATAAAAGCAATATTCATAACCTGGAGGGAATCTTGTATTACGAAATCATACATGAAGTATTAAGTATTCTTGGCAACTATAGTGTACTAATGATGAGGTGGTTTCTGCAATCATGACGTCATGTCTCCTTCACAAAACGTTGATATAGAAGCCGGCGCCATAATGCGAAGTCGCCCTTATAAAAACCCTTAAAACTGGATGAAGGAAATAGTTAATTCTTCAGTCTGCATGCGTTGGCTTCTCGCACTAACTTGGTTTAATTTGCAGTGGGGAAATTTCTAGCCACTGAAAGGTCCGCCATGTTTATTGCCGTTGGAGCTATGACGAAGCAGAAAAGATATCCATGTTATGCAAGGTTTAAACTTACATGCGAAATCGTACGATAGAAATCTTTAAATTTTTATTTGATAATGCTTTTAAGCAGTTAATTGAAATGTTGAGACGTTTTAGTTGATAATAGTTTAGAATAATCATAGGCCCGGGACTTTGAAACACTTTTAATGTAGTTACTTTTTTATTGTATTTTTATTGTTTACTGGTGTTTTAAACCTGATGTTAAATGAGAATCGCCATAAATTTGGCTTCCTTTTTCAGTGACGCAAGGCCTCGTTCTGACTCAGCCTATGGAGGATCAGTGAAAGGATCTTCAGTAGCATCAACACCAGTCGCCATTAACTCACCCACGGTACTACCTAGCCCTCGAAATGACAATGGAAAATCATCGGGACGAGGCAGTCATGCCTCCAGTGTTGCGAGTTTGGATGACCAAGACTCGTCCGGCTATGCCAGGATAGAAGATATCGATTCATTGAGAGAAGCAGCTAAAGCAAGGTGAGTTGACGTCTCCGTCTATTGTGCTTTTTAAAACTTTAGACTTGTTTCTTTAGATTTGAATTATGGATTTATTCATCATAAGATACTGGCTCAGCTTCTTTCATAAAATGATTTGTTTGTTTATAGATTAATTCTGAACTTTTTCAGAATAATTTTGCTGCCAACTGTTGCCAAAACTTGGCTGGAATTGTCCCCAGATCCCCAGACTTCAATTATTTTATTGCTTTATATACACTCTTTTTTTTATAAGAACCAGTAAATTTAAGTTCAGGCTGACTGTTCTTAATTTTTTCGAAAATATGAGGCCGGATTGTTCTTAATTTGTTCTTAATCTAATAGGGTGTAAGCAGTGCGAGTGCTAGCTTTTTCGCTCTAGGGAGGTGTTCAGACCTCATTTGCCAACAAAGTGAGTGAGACAACCTTCATTTGCCGAAAAGTTTGAATATTCGACGAAAAAGCACCCACTCATCGCTAAAAGTCTTCGATTTTGAGAAAAAACGTTGTTCAAAATTGCATTTTACAGAAGCTCAGCCTCAGCTTGTTCTTAATTTGTTCTTAACTTTTGACCAATTTTGAGGCTCGTGTTCTTATAAAATTGTTCTTATACAAGAAAGAGTGTAAAACGGATATTTCTACAGGTATATCATGTCAGGATTATCTATAGTACCTCTGTTATCAATCTTTAAGCATTACAATTCACTTTTACTCAGAAAAGCGCCATAACATTTATTGCTCTGTGCTTGGAGATCTACTGCTGCCTTCTAACATCGATTATTTTTGCGCCGCTTCATGCCAGGTTTCCGATGTCATTTAAGTCTTATTTGGCCTAAGCAGGAACCAATTCATAGATGTTACTTTCAACACAGTTTCAGGGAATAAGTCCTGTAAGATAAGTCTTTCTAGATTATATGTTGAACTGAAAACAGTTGCATTGTTTAAGTTTAGTCTGTGTTTAACACATTTACACATTTCTCAGCTATTCTACGCCGGAAGCAAAGAGACATGGGAGTGAGGTTGTTCAAGAGCAAGCGGTGATAGCAGTCTCACATACTGTTCCAGAGGAGAGCTTTCCGGAGAGACTGAACAAACGTGTACCGGAGATACGCAGTAACAAAGATTTGTCGTTAGCTGTTTACCAAACAAACTACTTACCCGGACTAACAAATGGACAACCGACAATTTTATCGAACAGTCAAATTGATATAGAAGACCGGTTACCGGACCGATTGCAAAAGACTGAACAACGCACTAGACATGTACCGGAAACTCTTAAAATCGGCACTGACTTGAATCTTAACTTGGTTTCGCATCCCAGCAAGTCGTCGTCCGGAACGTTATCCCCGGACGGGGTTTTTGACCTGCAGAGTCCGAGAAGGTGAGTTTTTTAAGTACCCTTTCAAATTTAAATTCAATTATGGTCATTAATTTTCTGCTAGTTACGATAACCCTAGACGTTTTTGTAAGCATCAAGGTGGTGACTGAAAAAAGACAAAAAATTGAATGGGGAAACGATTTCAAAGCGGCCTTAAAATTAGAACCGGCAGCTTTAAAATTAGAACCGGCTGCCATAAAATCAGATCCGGCGGCTGTATTTGTGGGTACTTTCGCGGTCATTTCTAGACAGTAGTGGCGTTTCTTGACCTGCCTGGATTGATGAAAGAGAGATATAATTTGTGAAGTTTGCAAACAATGACTAAGACAAAGAGCCCGGTGAACATTGCTGTCAATAAGCGCTATTTAGGCTAATGAAAAAAGGAAAGAAATTGCAACACACGACGCGGTCTTACTCTTTTTGTTTTCCGATGAACATTTCCAAAGCTCAAGAAAATTTTCCTGAGGACGTTCTGGACTCTGAAGACAATATTCACTCTTAAGCGAGTTAACCACCAGTTAATAACATTTCCAGTGAACAACCAGAAAAGTGGAGGCGTTTTACACTCCCTCAATCAGATGTCAGATACGCCCCTGCAAAGCAGCAGACTGTATCTTTGGTTTGCATATCTTTGCTTTTCACACCTGTTGCAGGGCCCCCCCTCCCCCTCCCACTTTTTTGCGAAGCAAATAGTTTTAAAGCTGCAGTAAAAGGGGAAAAGCCTTGGCCCCCTACTTTTGCTAGCCTAAATCTGTGTAGGTCACATACCAAAATTTGTGTAGGTCACTCCGTAGGGATACCCGACTAAATCGAAAGATAGTTTGCGAATATGACCACTAATTGTGTCCTTCTGAGACAATTATCTCAATTTTGCACTATCTGAATTTACATTACTTCAGTTCTCTTCGTGAAAGTCCTTGCACGGTTCCACCAGGATGTTCTGTGTAGATAATTCTAATGAAACAGTTTCATATACAAATGTATACTTAAAGAACCAGGAGGCTCTTTTTTCGTAACTTTTGAACTAGTCTTGCGATATGCTCCAAAACATTTCAATGAAATCCAAGCTCATATTTTTTATAGAGCCTAAGAATTTTTGCTAAGGCTCGATGTTCTTATTTTTTTATATTTTGAGCCAGGCTCGAGTCTTCCTAGTAAAATTCTTATTATAAAATTGATTGTTCTACATCTACATATTATCATTTGTTTCATAATTTTTTCTAATACCTAACAACTCTAAACAAAAGTTTTGCAAGACATTTTTAGTTACACGATTGATTTGCTAAAAAAATCTGCGATGTTTTCTTAACGTGAGAAAATGTGTGTTCCACTATCTTATTCTAATAATGACTAGTGGTTTGTTTAGTTAGTTGCTTTTAAAGTCGTTTGTTCGGGGTTGATAAATGCACGGTATTAGATTAGGAACTTCTGCTTTTAGGGTGATCATTAGGGTAAAAGAATCTCTTGTTAGAATCAGGTATTTCCATGTCATCGAATTACGTCCGGGTCCGCCAAAAGTAATACCGCTAAAAGGCATGGCTCAGGCAGCGTTTACACGAGACCGGTTCCATTTGAAACCGTACTAAAATGAACACGGTTAGGCCTCCCGTTCACAAGGGACCCGTCGGAACCGTTCCAAATGGAACTGCTAGCCGTACCAAAACGGGGTCGCTTAGAAAAAAGTTCCATTTGAAACCTTTCCAAAATTTTTCGTGTAAACGCAGCCTCGGTGTCTTTGGTGAACTCACTCTTTTTAACACTGCCCCGTGTCTTTGGGCCCCTTCGAATAAATAAAAGCGGGAACCTAGTTCAGCATTCTGCGGCAGTTTTTCCTCCTTTGGTTATCAAACATCATCAGTTTTTTATAAGCTTAACCCAGCTTACCATGAATTCTCTGGTCAAATTCTCTGTTGGTTGAAATACATTGTATTGCGTCAAGCCAAAGTTACTTTCGAAATGACGTTTGTTGTTAGGAGAACCTTGAAAATCTATTACGAAGACACAATCAAGCTTTTTTCTCTAATCACATTAATTGCTGTCGTACTTTGCTGTGTTTATGGAAAGAAACCTCTTATTCTGGATATCTGTTTCGTGACGTCAGTTTACCAAGTGAATACTTTAAGTATAACCTTAAGCTCTAAGTAAAAAAATTGACAATATTGAGGCTCAGCAAGAATAGGTATTCTTATACAAAAGTGTGTATTTAAGCATTTGTGAATAAAATTTCCTTGTTTATTTCTAAATTTCATTAATCGAAATCATTTTATTTAAAAAACTGTTTACGAGAAGAGAAAGTGGAACATGAGATTGAAATATGTATTTTAATACATATGGTCCAAATATGGGGGCTTGGATGGTCAGTGACGTGACCAGTGGTGGCGCCAGGGGAGGGCTAGTGGGGTCTACAGCCCCTCCGTCGGAACCATCTAGCCCCCTTATCGGAGGAAATTTTGGGTTATTGTCGGAGCAAATTTGACAAAGTAACGTACAAAAATTGCATATTTTAGTCATTTTAGCCCCCTTGTCGGTAGCTCAAACCCCTCTGTCGGAAGATTTCTGGCGCCACCTCTGTCTGTGACCCATTTCGTGATTTATTTCATTACGTCATAAACCTTTAAACCTTATCTATACACCTAGATTAGCAGTCAGTGAAAGCACAGATCTCTTATTCTGTGGCGAAACCGCATTCCATTTCAAGTGACTGACTTCCGAAACTGCGTGCAACGTAATCCAGTGAAATAAAAAACCTGAGTAAAACAAAGTTTGGCACCGCAGTACAGTGCATGGCATGCACTTCTTGCATAGGAAAGGAATGTGATCGGATTTTGAAGCAAATGATTTATCGCGTGTCTAATTAGCACCTTGGACACCCCTAAAGTGGCAAGCCCCTCCTCTTGGCAATAGATCAGTTTGTTCATTAATCAGTTTTCGTTTGATCCTAATTGCTCGCATTTTTCATACCTTTCTCAGCTGCATGTTCATGATTTGTGTTTGACGTCATGATATTAGGATAGGTGCAGTTGCCAGAAGCATCAGCACAACACGCAAGAATAGTAGCGATCTGATTCTTTCGGTGGCTTTTTCCAAAAATGGTTTCCACACCTACCACCAAACTGATGTAGAGCTAAGGCTGACTTTTTCGCTAAAATGTTTAGTGAATTATTTAAAAAAAGCTTCCCTTCGCAAATTCCCATTCATTCCCATGCATTTTTTAATCTTGTTTGTGTTGACTTTGAAATTGTTAAAAGTTAAAAGAATGGCTTTCGATACCCTCTTGTTTTCATACAAAAATTGTCATCTATCAAAAACGCGAAATTCGACAGTCAGTGACGTAGCCTTCAAGACAAATAAATGTGCTATTTTACCCGCCGACAGACGATTTTACTCGATTTTCCGACAAAGTAAGAGTAAAAATATCAATATAAATTTCATTTTATTTTAATCCTTTTCATCGGATTTTGTTCATCGGTAGACGTTCTAGTACCATTTCCTTCCTACCCTAAAAGGGGCTATTTTGTTAAGGAGAAGGGCTTGGTCTCCTTAGAAAAATCATACTTGTTTTCAGTTTATTGCTGTCTACTGTCAATGTCATTTCATATTTTTTATTGAGTGTTTGGTTTCTCATTCTAAATAGGGGTCAGCCTACGCCCCTCCTTATTGGCTAATAAATCAAGCTTTGTGTTAACAGTAGCACAAAATGGCCGTTATACCTTTGGTTTCGCCCTTCCCGTTTTATTTAAACAAATAAGCTCTATTTTCCATTAATACTTTGAGCCTGGAGCACTTGACTCTCTCTACAAATACACTCCTTTTCCTCTCTGTAAGGCTAGTCTCCCCTGCTTGTATTTTTTGATTATTTCTCTTTGCGGTTCCCGGCTTGCGGTTTCACACGGGCCCTTCCTAGAACTGAACGTGATTTTCCTTTTTTTTGTTGTATTCCATTACTTATTATTATATTCCATTAATGATTGTATTCCATTACTTATTAATGGTATTGTGTACTTATTATTATGTTTCGTTATGTATAAACTGACGTCATTATTCAAAACAATTACTTCCCTGTTCCATTTCCCGCCCTGCCCCGTTCAAGTAATCGCTAGGTCAATAATACGAACAACTTTTGAATGAAAGACCGCGGATTTGCGAACCACTTCAAGCTTCGTTCTTGCATTCTCGCGGATTTCCGCTTCATATAATGGTGGATCTACACCGCAGTCATAGTAACATAGAAATCAGTTGTATTTATTCAAGTTGCAGTGAGAGTCAAGCGCATTTTTAAGCATTGCGCCTCGGCAGAAGGCGAGATTTTCTCAGAAGAAAAAGCCTCAAAGATATTCGGAGATTACTGCTAATTCAATAATAGCATTGGTGTTCTAGCTTTAAATTGTATCTAAATAACAAAGGCTAGTATCTTGCTGTTTACGATATGGTGCTGACTGAAGAAGAGTCGCCTTGCGTTCGGGCTAACATGTCCAGGAACATATGGGGCTTGTTTAAAGAACTCCAAATTAGTGTTTCGCAAGGAAATATGGTCAACGAAAGGTAACATTCTTATTTTCAATGTTCTACACGGGGTAGACTGCTTGTTTTTCAATCTTGAATCCTTGTTATTCAAATCGTTTCTGTTGAATTTCGCGGATTGGAGAGAAGCTGTAAGTGTTATATAATTTTTGAAGACATGTTAAAATGTTGAAACTAAATCAACTAAAAGATAATAATTTGCTAGGAATGGGTTTTTAAAACCAAATCACTTCGAACAACTGCGATAAATAAGCGACCATGAATAAATTCTGTGGACCAGGACTCTTTGCTTTTTAATCAGCTTTCATGCTCGAGCTCACAAAAATGACATTTGTTTACTGGTGAATCTATAAATTGGCACCAACAATTTGGTTCTCAAATTTTGATTCTGTTGGCTTATATGGAAGGTTTGAACTTTTTTCTTTTGTGATAAGAAACTGAAATACAATATATGGTTGTTTATTATCATATTTTGATGACTGCACCTATTCCGGTGTCTTTGTGGGGATATTTCTAAGGTTAATGTCAGAACTCCCTCTGAAGTCAAACAGCCATTTTCTGAATAACAAAACTCGTCTTCCCTGAATATATCCTCTCAAAGAAAGCGTTTGGTTTCGCTGTGGAGTTGCCTTTCCTCGCCCAGTAGTTCGTCTCTTCTCCTTCCATTCCAACGGGTACCCATCACTCATTTCTCCCAATGGATTACCTCTTTTCTCTCAATGGATTACCGATGTTCTCTCCCTTTTCCCAGTAGGTTTCAAGTTTTTGTTCAGTTCTCCCATCGGGAAACAGGAGTCTTTCTCTGTTGTTTCCGATATTAATTAATTTCCCCTAGTATTTCTCAGCATAGTTCACGTGCCTTCTCGTTCATTGCACTGTTGTTTCCCAAGTATTTATAGACAAGGCTTCATGTTTGTAAAAGGGTTTCAATTTCAGTGTAACAGAAATGAATTTATGAGGGTTGTCCCTATATCCTCGCTGATATCAATCCGCCCTTGAGCTAGTAACAGCAATTTGCTCCATTTCGCTATTCAATATTTTTACGATCAAGAGGTACTAAACGCGTGTCCGATTAATAACGTCAAGTCGCTAGTTTGCCAGTCGAAAATCTGCTATTATTAGGTTTTCTCTATTAAATCTGATCTGAAAATTGGCGAACAAAGATTTTCCGTAATATCAATTCGTAATATTACCAACACAGATTCACTTGTTTCTGCCAACACGGTACAAATACTGTTCCACATAAAGGCTAGCCCCTCACCCCTCTTGTCACCTATCACCCTTATGAACTTTGGTATCAATGTTTATTTCTCTCAGTTTTCAAGGCCCTCATTAAAACGGGCGATTTCAGCAGATTGTCTCAAATGTACCAAAACATGATTAAAATTCTCATAAAACCTTCAAATTCCTATCGTAATCGAAATTAAACGAAGGCAAACCCCTGATAATTATTATCGCGAAGACTGAAGAATGCTCGGTGAGGGTTTCCTAAACTTGCAAGGTGTTCTAATATCTTTTGATAATGGCGGACTAATTCCTGATAAATTTAATTGCCTCCGTTAAGTATTCAATTGCTTACTCATTTTGGTTACCTCGATGGCAATATTTTATACGCCACAATTCTCTCCTATCCTCTCTTTCCTGTTTATTGTAAGTTATCACATGTAGTTATGCGTTATTCATTTCCTTTAATTTCATGTTTTTTTGTCTCATTGTTTTTATTGCATGCTTTCGTTCCACACGAGCTTTGGTTTCCCTGAAAATGTCTTAATAGAAAATTGGTTTTATAAATAAACCTAAATGTAATGAAATTTCTAATAACCGCAATTAACTTCCCTTGCCCTGTCAAATGTGACATTGATAGAAAATGTGCCTCTTGTTACTGGGAGATGTGTCAAGGAATGAGTACCCTGGGTTCAGAGCGTCGAATGCAGCAAGTGGGGGCGTCGAGGAAATTGGGCGATGCGTAGCATACATTTGACGCTCTGGAACCCTGGGTAACGAATGAGTTGCTTGAGTATATACGGATGTAAATCCCGTTGACAAAAACGTTGATCTTAATCTAGGGGGGTCGAATAGGGGCAATTGGTGGAAATCATATTTATTCTTTGTTACAATTGCTCGAGTGTTTTTTATCAAAACCGTAAAATTTTAGTAACGCATGAAAAAGAATCATGATGGCTTTGACTATCTCAAAATAGAATCAAAATTTTGAATACGATCAAGTTTCTAAGCAGTTCTAGTTTTAATGGCCAATTTCTCTCCTTTCCGCTTTATTGCAGCTTGTTTTTATAGTATTGTTTGGAAATATTTAGTTGTGTGGTGACCCCCTCTCCTCGTCCTCTATGCTCCTTCAAGCGTCATTGCTGGGTCTTTCAGTGTTTTCGTTGCTGAAGATACAAAAGAGCCTGTAATCTAATTTTGGAAACTTCGAGAATTGTCGTCTAATCCTATGAGGGACCTGTATGTCTATGAATCAGTTCTTAGGGGATTATACTGTGGGTATATCAATCCCGTTACTTATCTCTTCACCCTTCCGTCTAGCACTTTGTAAACGTAATTTTGCATGTTTGCGGATGTTTTTTGGATCTAATTGCATTTGTGTGGGGAATCGTGACCAGAAATCTAAATCTTTGTACCAATCTTGGTCCCAAAAGGACGGCGCGAGCTACGGGTAATGTAGGAAATTGATAAGTTGAAGCCAAAAGAATTGAACCTCCGTTTTCTAAACAAGATCAACTGATATTACAGCCAAACAATCGCGACAGGAACTGCCATTTTAAGCCAAAAACTCTAAGATCGTTGCTGTTGTATGCGCTATATTCCGATCGCTAAAAAGCCAGGACTACCAGATCCTTCCGGGTGTTGGTTTGAGGTAAACTCCTAATCTCCTGAACGTTTTACTCGGGTTGATCTTTATCCGGTTGTTGAAATTTTGTGCCAATATTATATCAATTGCCGGAGTGTTGGTATTAAGAGCTTTGCTCAAATCCATCCTTGATACTTTTTACTACCATTTTACTCGTTACGTCACAGAGCAGACTTAATTAGCATAATTTTTATCAATCTATTTAACCGATAACGCCGTACTTGCCCTAGGTGTAGGAGATATCGTGGTTGTGTGGGCTGCATCCCCTTTAATCAAGACAAATTTATTCCATTTCTGGCTCCGATTGGGGCACTTCTATCCCAACGAAACTCTAACATTCAGACAGAATCCATACAACAACCCCCCTTCCCCCCCCCATGTATTTAGCATCGACTACGCCTATAGCGGTACCCCTTTTTTACTGGCCCCAAATGCAAGGAAATCTTTATGCTTGACATTGAAGATATTTTTCATGTCTTCATTTAATGATGAAAAGCGATGTGTTTTTTCATTCTTTTTTCTGTATCATAAATTTTTAGCTTAATTTTTTTTAAAGGGGTGTCGACGTCCTAAGGCCCTAAAATGGAAGTTTCACGGGTACTGGGGCCTATGAATCCTGCCCGTGGAAAGCTGACCTTCTATCAACACTCCTGATTATTTAGACTATTCTCGTCATTAAACTGGAACCTGCTAAATGCTTTTGTCACCTTATATTGTAGACTTGCTATGAACATATACCAGGTCAATTCGCACATTTTCCGTGCAATTTTGCTCTCCAAATGAGGTTCCGTGTAGTTTCAATATCTGTTTTCTTCTTCACAGCCCCGACGCTTTGAAGATAACGTCAATCTGTTCAGATGGAAGTCTTGGTCCTGGTATCCACTTGGTTGATTCGCCTCCAAGCCCGGCCTATTCAGCGCGGTCCGACAGCTCGAGTATCACACCGAGTCCGGTCAGAAGAACCGTAAGACATCGAATGAGAAGGTCAAACAGCAGTTCATCGTCGTTATCGTCCTCAGGTGTGTTGACCGTCTATTGTCTGTAATTTTTTATGTAGAGTATTTTTATGTAGAGTATTTTTATGTAATTTTTATTGTCTTATATCTACGTGAGCTATAACGCTACAGAGATATTTGAAATATTCGTTCATGATATTTTAGCTATGATGCATTTACATCATGATGTTGCGTTTTATAAGTATTGCACTTTTTTCGGAATTTAAGATGTTCTCCATTGATACTGATTCTCTCTCTAACTGAACCCAAAATTTAATCACCCTACATATCCAATGACACTAGCTTGCTGCGTTTCCTTCGCCTGTTTCAAACCTTTTGCTTCAGCTTTTTCTGCCGATGACGTACCCATTACACCCTTCTCTATCCTGCACTGCCGTCGACAAACCCTTGCCTCCTTGTGCTCTATGTTGACAAACCTATTGTTTCCTTATGTTCTAATAAAATACGCCAATAGTAATCACAACAAATCCATATGCAACATAAAGATCGGGCGCTGTTTATTTCAGTGATTTGAAAAACAGCCACGCTCATTTAAAGGCACCTTGTTAATCCTTTATTAAACGGTTATGCATTGCATTTTTATTCCCTGCTTGCTTGTTCGTATGCATAAAAGGTAAGCCTAGATGAAGGCTCCCTCTACAATAATTAGCATTCCTCATGTTTGTCTAAATTAGCGGGACGTTTGAAGGGTTGGTTTTATTCATTTCTTGGTTTTTGTTCTGGAGGCACTTAGTTTTGGGCATTCCTTATTAACTGTGGACTAGCTGTAGCGAAATGCAAGAATTGGATGGTAGCGTAAACGGGAGACTTACAAATAGGCATCGCTTTATGAGTCTGGTTTGCCTTAAGTGTGCCGATTGGGACATGACTCGTGGACGCCTGTCTCCTGCAACGACCTACGTGACCATTCTTTTTAGCTACCCTCAACATGCTGTCAAAGAACGAGGTATACTGTTGCTCTGTCCTCTGATGTTTTCCTCTTTTGGCAAACTTATGATCGCATTTTGCAAGGCTTAAGGTTACGGTAAACGTTTGCTGGATGAAAACATCATTTTTTCGATTTTTTCACATTTAAGTAGCCGAACTTTCAAGGCACACAATGACACCAAATTTGAAACAAACAGAAATTTTGAAAGTGGAAAAAATCCCATGTAAACGAAGGTTTCCATAATTTCTTTATCAAAACTTTTAGTTGAGGCCTGAAAATCTCTTAACCTTTTAAGCCGATTATCGTTGCTTTGCGGTTGTAGTCGCATGTCTCATTTACATTATCGCATGGCACATCCATATACCTAATGTACGGCCGTGTTTATTTAAACAGACTTATTGATCTTAAATCTTCAAGTGACTTGACCCGGATTACACTGTGGTTTACGAGTGTATCTTGCAAGTGCGATAAGTAAAATCCCGTTTTCTCCGGACTCGAAATTCCTCTACATGCAGGTACGAAAAAGCTATTATGTACCCAAGGAACCAATCGAACGGCTCGAAAATTTGCACACGGCCAGGGCAGACGTTGGGCAAACAAAGTGTGTCTCAAAATTTTTTTATTTTCTCTGGTCCGTCTTTTATACCCAAATACAGCTGCGGGAGGGTGGAACAATTATTTGCCAATTTTTGACAGGGTATAGTTTCAAGAAGAGGAGGAATTTAAAAAATCTAAGACACACTTTGGTAGCTTAGGACCTGCACTTCCTGCTGGTCTAAGTCAGATTTTGTTACCTCAAACGCAAGGGTACATAATAGCTTTTGAAGGTGGTACACTTTCTGACCAGTAAATTCGCATGGAAAATAACATTTAACATTATTTGCCAATACTTTTTATCTGGCTAGATACGCCATAATCTTGTGCATCGAATGATATATAGTTTATCCAGATTCCTTGAGCCGTTTGGCCTTTAGGAAGAAAAAACCAATTTTCGTGTTCAAAACGTTTACCGTAACCTTAAAGCTGCAATGTTTGCTGCCTTAGATGACGGTGTAATAGGTTTTTGTGCTAAAGTCCTGAAATTGTGGTTGTTGTGTTGATCAAATTAAGATGCTAAGATAGAGAACTGCAAGCGGTTAAAATTTTTCTGCTTGCACTTTTAGTGTACTCAAGTGAATATCGGATGAAGACGAGCATTTTCAACGATTTGCTGCATATTTTACGTATTTAGCGTGCCTTTTCTCCCTCAAGAACTTAAAACAGGATACACATGTATCATTTTGAATGCGGATGATGCAGAGATCCCTGCTTTGCTACATTAAACCTTTAAACGCTTGCAACTGATTTATTGCTGTTGGCAGCTATTTGACTTAATCAATTTCCTAAGCATGACTTAATCAAATCCCTAAGCATGGCTTAGAAGGACTTCCATCGAATCAGGTTATTTTTATTTTGTTGCAGGCAGTATTTTTATTAGCATGGTTGCTTGCGACTTTGAGCGTGCGAATGTCTATAGACTTTGACCAATTGGACTGTCTTTACAATTCATTTTTCCCCAATTGAAATGTCTGTTTGTCGTCTGCCGAGGCTATCTTTTCCCTTGAAAGTTCAGATTGTCAGATTGTTATCGGAACATTCAATTGTGAAATTGTTACTCTCATATGTATGGCAACAATCTCTTTGTAATTGTTTGGCTAATGCAAATCATATTTCATAAATACTTGGCTTTAAGCATTGATGTTAATATGTTTCGTTCTAAATTAAGCTTTTAGACAAGAATTTCCCACGGAAATTGATACACTAGCTCGCATACTTTGTGTTGATACCCACGTGCTTAATGATTTGACTAATCTTTCATTTTTATGGACTGAACAGCAAAATATGTTTCTTAGACAACCATATGTCATCATTCCGACACAAATCACTGTGCCCTTCTAAAATTTAAAGTGGCTCTACAGCTGTGTCTACGCCAACATTCCTTCGACATTTTAGGCCTAGTATTGTTAAATACCTGTTTGATATTTATCTCGGCACCTATCTAAATCGGGGAAGGGGGAGTATACTACATTCAGTCATTTTTTGTTTGCTTTGGCTTTCTAGCTTGTTTTGCAACCATGTTTTCGCTAACCCTTGTGTTTACTTAACTGTGTCTCAGACAAGATGATCGGCAGTGCATTTCATATTATTGATGTTGAGGGCCCCTTCAGTTCTAATCATGTCAACTACAATAAACGGAGGCCACGAATGCAAACACCAATGCTTGGAATTAGGGAACTACATTGAGATGATACTCAGATTATTCGAGTTAAATACGAATTAAAGGCAGATTTAACAAAGTTGATAAAGGCCCCTTACAAATCATCTAATCCAGTTTTTGCTTCGAATTTCAACTGGCTGATTTTCCGCTTATCGTTCTTTGTCCGACTGTGTGTCCGACTTGAATTGGGTCAAATACACATGACGTTATCCTTTGAATGGGAATTTGTTGCAAAGAAGTAAACAATTGTACCATTGCTTTGAGCGCGCTAGTTGCATCATAAGATTGTCAAAACTTCGTACCGATATTCATAACAAATTGAAGAAATCGTCCATTCGCCGCCTGGATGGCAAGGGGAAATTGAGTTGGTGTGTTATCTGTTTTGTCTAGCTGAAATGAGTTTTTTTCTTGCCCTAGTCCCCCCGAGAGCTGTGATAAACAAGCTTTCAGTTTTTGTTCCCTTCCGCTTTCTAGTCATCGGGGCAGTAATTATAAATGGACGAGACGACGTATAAATGATCAGGACAGCCATTCCTCTCTTTATCCGTATCGCATCGTGTCGAGTTTCTTCCAAGTTTTCTTCTAAAATATTGCCTATTATACACTGTTATGAAAAATTTTGAAATAGGTTTTTAAATGCTTATAAAGGAAAAGTAAATACAATTTACCTAGAGTTCCATACAGTTACCATAAAGTTCGGATTAGTGGTAGTGCCTCTGTGATCAGAATCTCGATGATCGCAGTCCTCAAATATGTGGCAGAAATCCCACGCTTTTTCATGTAAAGCTTGTTGTTTTTCTGTGATTTTCTCAAATCTTGTCGCCTACCTCACGAACGAGATTCAAGTATATCTTTTTCTCTTCTATGATTTTTTCTTGTCGAACACGCCTGAAGTCTAGAAGAACACGCCTGCCAATAAGGTACCTCTTGTTATCTTATTGACAGCCTTTCTTTTTGACTTTATCATAGCAAGTGTTAAATATGAATCGCTCTCATTTGCAGAACTATTTCCTGACGTTGTACGATACCCACATGTTCGATTCGACAAAGACAATCTGAAGTTTTGGTACAAACCAAAAATTAGCAGGGACGAAGGTAACTTTTATTTTTGTCTAATGATGGCTTGGTTCTGAAATAATTTGTTTATCAATTTTGAATTCTTAGTTATAAAACAAAAGGCTGTCAAATATATGAGTTTTTATGTAGAATATAAAAAATTGAAATGTCTTCTAGCATCTCCTTCTGCAGCCTTTTCTGTGTACCTAGTTGTTCAAACAGCTATTTATCTTTCCAATTCAACTTTAAAGAACTGGCTTGGAAATCTAACCCACATACTCAAGCCCAACGGAAGCCAAATTTACCTCGCTGCTGAAATCTGTGACATCAACCCTTAGCATTCCATTAAATCCATAACTCGAGTCTGAAAAGATTCATGGCCTAAAATCGTTAATTCATGTTGAATACTCATGTCCAGTTTTGAATTTACTATGCCTGGTATATGTTACTTTTCTTTATTTGAATCATTTTTTTCTTTGCTCAATTTAGACTATAGTTTTTAAACCTGTGTCGTGGCTCTGTTTTAGCTATAGCGCTTCTCAAAGACAAGCAACCTGGTGCGTTTGTCGTTAGGGACAGCCAATCATACGATGGTGCATTTGGCCTGGCTGTCAAGGTCGAAACACCACCAATTGGCATTCTGCAGCAAGCTGGAGGTGACTTGTGTAAGTATCCTTGCTACCCACATTAAACCTTGTAGCTGTCGGCCAGTTTCCCACTTCCTAGTGACACTTTGACATATTTTGTTGAATGCTGGTTTCAAAACTGCCATTAGGGAAAAATATTAGCACAAACTGGTTTGAAAACTGCCTTCAGGTTTATTTTACTCTCTAGACGTTGTTACTTGGCCTATGAGCTATTTCCAACATCTTTCGATTTCATCTCTGTTCTTTCTTTTTTGTTGCAAAGTTGTTTATTTTGCATTACTGTCGAGAAATCATAGCTCTTGACACTGTTTTGACTACTTTTTTCTACATATTCAGTAGCTTCAATGTTCTAATGAATCTTATTTCGTTGCCAACACTGCCTGCAGTCGCTTATTTTCTGTTTTGCAGCCAAAGTAAACCTGGAGAACGAACTCATACGTCACTTTTTAATTGAACCATGCAAGCAAGGCGTCAGATTAAAAGGCAATAACAGCGAACCAGCTTTCCCCAGTCTGGTAGCTTTGATATTTCAACATTCAGTCACAAAAATGGCTCTACCGATCGAACTTGTCTTACCAACTGAAGGTGCGTGGATAATGAAATGATGCTCTGTTTTCTCGGTGATTATGGAGTCGGTTAATTGCTTTCTCTATGTAGCAGAAATACTTAGACTTGCAAGATATGATCATAAAGGATTTTCTTTTCTAAAATTTGCCAGAAGCCTTTTTCAAGCAGTATATATGAATAGAAATTAATTATATTTTTATTGCTCATTGTTGTAAATGGAAATTAAGCATCCATGTTAAAAATATACATTATACCGACACCTTTTCTGACACTTACATCCTGAATGAGAAACAAATATGTTGTGTTTGTGTTTCCATATATGAAATGTTGATTTTCATAGTTGCTGTCAAATTTGTTCTCCATCTCTAGATTTTTCTTTGTATCTTTCTACTAGATTGTTCAAGCCTTAATGAATTGCATATTTGTTTAAAACAATGTATTTGAGTGAACTTTTACTGTAACTTGAGAAATATCTCACGATTTATTGTGTTGCTTTTTCTCATGAATACATCGCGTTATATCATTTGATCGCTATATTCTTTTGAATATAAAACTATTTACATTTTTGTCTTCAGATTTAGAAAACAACGACACTATAGACGGTTTAACAGAACAACAAGTATTAAAGAAAGGAGCAGGTAAATATTATCAAATTGTCCAATCTCATTCTCGGACACAAACCGAAGCGGAACTAGGTCGGTGAAATTTAGGCCTCAATTTTATTATGTGGCATTTGCTATTGTCTTGATACTGTCGGAAAGCTTATTACGGTGATCACAAATTTTTATTTCAAAGCAGTGTTTAGAAAACTTTCGACAAACGCATCTTACCTGAGTAGTTCGGCTGATCTGTTTATGGAAAGCATTTTTAGGCTAGATATGCCACCACGTTGAGCTTTTCTGGAGATTGTAGTGCGATGATATTTGTGTACCATGTCGTTTTAAGAGACGTTTAGATATATTTACCCCTTCTCAAATCTCTCCCTCCCTCCCCCCCTCTCTCTCTCCCTCTCTCTCTCTCCCCCTCTCTCTCTCTCTCTCTCTCTATCTCTCTATCTCTCTCTCTCCCTCTCTCTCTCTTTACGCAAGCACCCCTTTCAAACCCCGCTCGCTGCTTTTTGAAATGTGCCTTGAAGTTTCTTCAATTTCCTGAAGTGTACCCGATATGTACCGTAGAAAAAACTTTACCCATTTAGAGTTATTTAATGATATGCGTTTGTCTAGGTTAATGTATATTTTGATATTAAATAGTATACTTACACTTTCGGTGTATAGAACAGGACAAGTTTCCTAAAATCAGTAACAATTGGCTTTTATTACTTTTCAGCGTGTGAATTAGTTTATTTGGCAAGCATTGATGTCGAGGGACTGAGCGGAGATGGAGCAATCAAATATGCCCTTAACAAAGTGCTTTCCAACGAAAGTAATGTAAAATCTACAGTTGTAACCATAAAAGTAAATCAAGATGGAATCACGTTAACAGATAACGAACGAAAGTGAGTCCTTCTTTTTTCTTCTATTCATTCATACATACAATGAACAAGATAAAATATTTGTCAATTTTAAGATGACAAATGTTTGATATATAAATTTTTTCTTGATGACATTTTATAAATTAGGGTATTCTTTGAGGACTATCTCTTCATAGATTTCCTTTTTAGCAATGTTTTCATTTTTCACCAAGCTTTTACCGAAAAAAATGTTGTTTTTTTCCTCCTACACGCCTCAATTTTATGCAATCTCGTTTGATTTCGAATATATTTTAGAGATAACGATAATATAGTTAGCAATGAATTGAGTACCAAAATGGAATGAAATTAGTTAGATGGTTTAAAACACAAACCTTTCAATATTTTGAATGGATATGTTTTCAATGTGGTTGCTTGATTCTTCTTATTGACTCACTATGCATATCATATCAGATACAGTGTAGTGAGGCAATGATATTTTCTTGGTTTGCACACTGTACACCTCGCTCTACACTTGTAAATAGAGTGTTCTATTGATTTAATTTTAATAAAACACAATTTTGTTGCAGGTTGTTTTTCAGGAAGCATTTCTTGATAAAAGATACTCTCTGCTGTATGCTAGATCCTCGTGGTCGAAGGTAATTTAGTTTGAATTTCTTTTACGGTCTCTGAGCGTATCAGCCTTAGGAATTTTAACGGTATCTCACATGAAGCCTTGAAAAAAAGTTTTGCTTTAAACTTATCTGTGTTCACCATGTGTGCCACTCCCGTTATACTCAACCCTATCAGGCCTCGTTGATTTTCTGCGCCTTAATTTCAAGACGTGTTATTTCGAATGAAGAATTGTCTCCGTGCTATTGTGAGAAAACCTAAAATGATGACAAAGTAAAGACTCATTTTGCGTAGTTTTTCATTGTGGAGAAATATTGAAACAAGTAGAAATAATGATGGAAATTAATGATGATAAGTATTGGTTTTAGGACGTAAACAATAATTATAGGTTCGGTTTCAAAAGTTATATTGTATTTCTTCATTTCAGATTTAATTTGAAAACAATCATGCCAGAATTAGGACAGGAAGCTCCGTAAGTTTGCTCCCGGGTTTTTTACACGTTTACTTTGTGAATTTTGAAGTTCTGATAAAGTTGAAGTTAAAAAACTTTAGAAGGTTAAAACATGCATGGTTTTTTCTTTGTTGTTATGAAAGATTTTAAGTCGAGTCCTTTCTGGGCTAAACGCTCTTCATGGCCTACGTCTTACTAGTTTTTAAGCATATCTTTCCTTCTTTTCTAGTTGTTTTGGTATTGTGGTGCGCAAGCCGCAAAATCCTTTGGAACACGAATGCATAGTGTTTGCTGAAGTCGACCCAGTGCAACCTGCGACAGCAGTCATTGACTTTGTACATAGAGCAATGAAAAACGGCAAGAAGTAAGAAGAATGTATATATAAAATCCCGACATTCTTTTCCCTTGTGATCGCAAATGATCGATGTTGGTGTGCATTTCGACCCATGGGAGAGCTCGACGTGTGATGGTTTGGGGCTGGATATGTGACGATGTATCAGATTTTTGTATTGTAAATTTTTCTATGCATCAAAAGGAGCTTCCCCTATTTATGTCAAGAATCAAAAGTTCCTGACACGTGGCATGGACGCTTATATTATTTATTGGCCTAAAGAAGCATGTAAACTGTTGAAAAGAGGTTTGCCTCCTTTTCATTCGACTAAAGATCAGCTGTTTTTTGAGTTGATTTACGTGCAATCCTTGTATGCTCTCTGCAGTTCGTGGTTGAATGCATCGAAGCTGACTTTATCGAAACGTCTTTTATAATCATACATTTGAAATTTTTACTCGTACTCTCGTTTGAGAAAGTTTTGGTATTTTGAAAATTATTCAATCTTTGCTCATAATCCACATTTTGCTTGATATACCAATAAGGACAGGAGAGGTTTATGGGCCAATCAAGCTGCAATCTACAAGTAAGATATTTTCCTTACTTAACTAGGGAAAGCTTTTCAATAAGCAGTTAGGCCTTGCGTCTGCCAGCTTTTATCCGAAACTTGTAAAGACAGACTTTTAATTCATGAAACATCGTATATGTTGTGTCTTTCATCCTTCCTGTTACTGTGACTTTTAACGCAGATAATAACCCTTTTTATGATATAATATTATAAAGGATTTAAATCTTATTCAATGTAAACGTGACTTCCGACAAACTGTGTATAGCTCAACTGTATGTATCTCGTATTTTTGTAAAATGTAAGCTCTGGTTTACCAGCTGCTAATATTAAAATTGTTATTGTTGTTCTTAAACAGAATATCGTCAAATTAGACTGTGTAACGCTCTTTCAATTTTAATCTATAGCAAGTACCATAGTTTTTGTGCCAACGTAGGATTTTAGCCATCAAGCTTGCTACACATTTTGCTCTGTTACGCCCAAATAACACAGATCTATCGATATTTCTCAGTCTCATGCATACACACCCACTGTTAGCAAGCCCCCATTGACCCGTTTCGATGTACACCCTCCCCCTACCCCCCACCCCCTCCAAATTTTAACACTGCAAACAACCTTACCTCTATTCGCGCCCATGCGACCCCGTACAACAAACTTATTTATTTTTATGTATTTGCGAACACCATTCCTCCGAAATTTGGTGCCAACGTTTCGGGATTGTGTAGACTTTGTGATTCTATTTAATTTGTAAACTTGTAAATTAGGTTACGTTAAATCTTCCTTGGTAGAAGACGTATCTTCAATTTCATATCCAACTATACATTAAAATGATATGCTGGGTTTTGTGTTTCACGTAACTCTGCTTGCTAAGGTGAGAAAGCTGCTATATCGTCATGATTTTTCTAGTGATGAATAAAAGTCTTTCCGCGAGCTTCAATTTTCCTTCAGAATAAACTTCCCTTAGCCTTGAAAGACAATTTTCGTGCGTTGTAACACAAATACAAGTGTGTGTTTAGTGTTAAGGCACGCTTAAACTCTGGATTGTCACAAATTTGATTATCTAGTTGTCCCCCCCCCCCCATGTGCCCGTATTTTTAGAAGAGCTACGTAGCGGATTACTCTTGGGGGTGCGTCTTTTGTTTGTGGCTACTTGTTATGTCCCTTGATACCCCAAATCACGCATGTGTGCATTGAAAACCTCGTTTAATTATGGATTCAAGCTCGAAACAGATCTCGCCCTCATTTGAATAATTGCTGCTAGAAACTGGATGTTCATATTTCCGTTCGATGTTTCTTTGCCAACTGACAGAAGGAATTGCAGTTTGAACACATATAAAAATATGAACTGTCAAGAGCCAAAGGTAAGAACGCCATTTATATTTTCGCTTCTTTGCAATATATCCGCTTTTGTTGCTGGATTTTCCATCAGCTTTTCTCACTAGAGGTTTCGTCACTCGAGTTATATTATATTTCGTATACTTGTCCCTATACCATATCCGAGCCAGGCATTTCTTTCTGCCAAATTATCAATCTAAATCTTCGTAGAAAAAGAAAGGCTCTATATAGGCTTACCAATATGATAGATTTTCGTCAAGGAATTTTTTCTTTGAAATAATAGCTAAATATCCTCTGAATAACCATGTAATCGTCCTGATCCACTCTATTACAACTTGTTTTCTTCTCCAAAATGGCGATTTCATTTAATGAGGATTTTTATCAAATGGACAAGACTATATAACTTCATTTTAGAGTCTGAATTTTGACCAAGAATTTTTTCTTCCAAAAGATGGATAATTATTCATTAAATAATCCTCAAAATTGTCCTAATCCACTCCAAACTCCTTTCCAGCCTTAACTTTTCTTTGAACTAATAGTTTAACTAGAAATAGCTCTTGCTAGTACTGCCCGCAAACAATTAGTTCCTTGATAATGATTGTTTTGAAAATTTAGGTCAGGATATTCGAAGAAGACACCATCTTGGGTTTTCACAATTTTATAAAAACAGCTGCTCTAGTTGATGCTAAACTATTCTTTTTATCAAGAATTTTTGGCGTTCAGTTTGCCTTTGATTTAAGTCCAACGCCCTTTTGAAAATCATGAAAGTTTTTCAAGGGTTTGACATTTATTTTTCGATAGTCACGCCAATCATAACTTTTGCTCGTATGGTCTCGAGTTTTTGGGAGAAAGGTGTGGCATTCGACTGGTTTTGATTCCCAAAACTTCGAATCAAAACTTCCATCCATTGCGGAGAACCGAGCTGTGATGCAGCACCGTTTTCGTGCCAAAAAAACCGAAGGCCTTTAACAGAGTCTTGGCAGAGCAACGCTCCGAAGATAATTCCCCTCCGCACAAAGAGGTGGCGGTTAACGACCTCCTCGACAAAGCCGATTGATTGACAATGAATTTGATTGACAGTTGTCATGGCAGCAGAAAAGTGACAAAATCTGCTGACAAAGTGCTGACAACATGAACTGAAGCTTCCATATGCTATTTATACGCGGGGCAGACTATAAGCCCTTCACTCGCGCGCGAGTTGCGGGCAATTAGATGATAATTTTGGTAAAGATGGGTAAGGTTATAGCCTTGCCAAAATTTCCGATTTTTGACAAGGAATTTTTTCTTCCAAAAGATGGATAATTATTGAATAAATAATCCTCAAAATTTTCCTAATCCACTCCAAACTCCTTTCAAGCCTTAACTTTTATTTGAACTAGCAGTTTAATTCGATGATAATTTTCGTAAAAATGGGTAAGTTTATAGCCTTGCCAAAATTTCCGAATTTTGACCAAGAATTTTTTCTTCAAAAAGATGAATAATTATTCATTAAATATACCAGAAAAATGTCCTAATCCACTTCTAACTACTTTCCAGCCTTAACTTTTCTTTTAACTAGTAGTTTAATTCGATGATAATTTTCGTAAAAATGGGTAAGTTTATAGCCTTGCCAAAACTCCCGACTTTCGACCTAAAATTTTTTCTTCTAAAAGATGAATAATTATTCATTAAATAAGCAAGAAAATTGTCCTAATCCACTCCTAATTTCTTTTAAAGCCTTAACTTTTTTTTGAACTAGTAGTTTAATTAGAAGAGATTTTTGGTAAAAATGGGTAAGGTTATAGCCTTGCCAAAATTTCTGACTTTCGACCAAGAATTTTTTCTTCCAAAAGATGAATAATTATTCATTAAATAAGCCAAAAAATTGTCCTAATCCACTCCCAACTTCTTATAAAACCTTAACTTTTCTTTGAACTAGTAGTTTAATAAGATGATAATTTTGGTAAAAATGGGTAAGGTTATAGCCTTGCCAAAATTTCTGACTTTCGACCAAGAATTTTTTCTTCCAAAAGATGAATAAGTATTCATTAAATAAACCAGAAAATTGTCCTAATCCACTCCCAACTTCTTTTTAAGCCTTAACTTTTCTTATAACTAGTAGTTTAATTAGATGATAGTTTTTGTAAAAGCGGGTAAGGTTATAGCCTTGCCAAAATTTCTGACTTTCGACCAAGAATTTTTTCTTCCAAAAGATGAATAATTATTCATTAAATAAGCCAAAAAATTGTCCTAATCCACTCCCAACTTCTTATAAAACCTTAACTTTTCTTTGAACTAGTAGTTTAATAAGATGATAATTTTGGTAAAAATGGGTAAGGTTATAGCCTTGCCAAAATTTCTGACTTTCGACCAAGAATTTTTTCTTCCAAAAGATGAATAAGTATTCATTAAATAAACCAGAAAATTGTCCTAATCCACTCCCAACTTCTTTTTAAGCCTTAACTTTTCTTATAACTAGTAGTTTAATTAGATGATAGTTTTTGTAAAAGCGGGTAAGGTTATAGCCTTGCCAAAATTTCTGACTTTCGACCAAGAATTTTTTCTTCCAAAAGATGAATAATTATTCATTAAATAAGCCAGAAAATTGTCCTAATCCACTCCCAACTTCTTTTAAAGCCTTAACTTTTCTTTGAACTAGTAGTTTAACAAGATGATAATTTTTGTAAAAACGGGTAAGGTTATAGCTTTGCCAAAACTCCCGACTTTCGACCTAAAATTTTTTCTTCTAAAAAATGAATAATTATTCATTAAATAAGCCAGAAAATTGTCCTAATCAACTCCTAATTTCTTTTAAAGCCTTAACTTTTTTTTGAACTAGTAGTTTAATTAGATGATAATTTTGGTAAAAATGGGTAAGGTTATAGCCTTGCCAAAATTTCTGACTTTCGACCAAGAATTTTTTCTTCCAAAAGATGAATAAGTATTCATTAAATAAACCAGAAAATTGTCCTAATCCACTCCCAACTTCTTTTAAAGCCTTAACTTTTCTTTTAACTAGTAGTTTAATTGGATGATAGTTTTTGTAAAAGTGGGTAAGGTTATAGCCTTGCCAAAATTTCTGACTTTCGACCAAGAATTTTTTCTTCCAAAAGATAACTAATTATTCATTAAATAAGCCAGAAAATTGTCCTAATCCACTCCCAACTTCTTTTAAAGCCTTAACTCTTCTTTGAACTAGTAGTTTAATTAGATTAAAATTTTGGTTAAAATGGGTAAGGTTATAGCCTTGCCAAAACTTCCGACTTTTGTCCAAGAATTTTTTCTTCCAAAAGATGGATAATTATTCATTAAATAAGCCATGAAATTGTCCTAATTCACTCCCAATTTCTTTTAAAGCCTTAACTTTTCTTTGAACTAGTAGTTTAATTAGATGATAATTTTGGTCCAAATGGGTAAGGTTATAGCCTTCCAAAAATTTCCGACTTTTCACCTAGAATTTTTTCTTCCAAAAGATGAATAATTATTTATTAAAAAGGCCATAAAATTGTCCTAATCCACTCCCATTTTCTTTTAAAGCCTTAACTCTTCTTTGAACTAGTAGTTTAATTAGATGAAAATTTTGGTTAAAATGGGTAAGGTTATAGCCTTGCCAAAATTTCCGACTTTTGTCCAAGAATTTTTTCTTCCAAAAGATGGATAATTATTCATTAAATAAGCCAGAAAATTGTCCTAATCCACTCTTAACTACTTTGCAGCCGGAACTTTTCATTTAACTATTAGTTTAATTAGATGAAAATTTCGGTATAAATGGGTAAGGTTATAGCCTTGCCAAACTTTCCGACTTTTGTCCAAGAATTTTTCCTTCTAAATGATGGATAATTTTTCATTCAATAAACCATAAAATTGTCCTAATCCACTTCTAACTACATTGCAGCCTTAACTTTTCTTTTAACTAGTAGTTTAATTAGATGATAATTTTTGTAAAAACGGGTAAGGTTTCTAGCCTTGCCAAAACTCCCGACTTTCGACCTAAAATTTTTTCTTCTAAAGAATGAATAATTATTTATTAAATAAGCCATAAAATTGTCCTAGTTCAGTCCCAATTTCTTTTAAAGCCTTAACTTTTCTTTGAACTAGTAGTCTAATTAGATGATAATTTTGGTCAAAATGGGTAAGGTTATAGCCTTGCAAAAATTTCCGACTTTCGACCTAAAATTTTTTCTTCTAAAAGATGAATAATTATTCATTAAATAAGCCAGAAAATTGTCCTAATCCACTCCCAACTTCCTTTAAAGCCTTAACTCTTCTTTGAACCAGTAGTTTAATAAGATGAAAATTTTGGTAAAAATGGGTAAGGTTATAGCCTTGCAAAAATTTCTGACTTTCGACCAAGAATTTTTTCTTCCAAAAGATAATTAATTATTCATTAAATAAGCCAGAAAATTGTCCTAATCCACTCCCATTTTCTTTTAAAGCCTTAACTCTTCTTTGAACTAGTAGTTTAATTAGATGAAATTTTGGTAAAATGGGTAAGGTTATAGCCTTGCCAAAATTTCCGACTTTTGACCAAGAATTTTTTCTTCCAAAAGATGGATAATTATTCATTAAATAAGCCATAAAATTGTCCTAATCCACTCCCAACTTCTTTTAAAGC